TTTCCAGAGCATTGCTTCTCAGACCTGAGCATTAGGACCCATTGGAGGCTGTTAAAGCAGATTGCTGGGCTCCAAGCTTCAGGTGTCCTTGGAGTCAGTCTAGGATAGGCCTGACAAGTGGTAATTCTAGGATGTTTCCAGATGGTACTAATATGACCTGTGCAAACCCTGTCAAAGGTATATTATAGAAGAAACATTTGACAGAAATGACTCCTCGGGGCAGGGCAAGGAATAGATGCTTATTGAATATCTGATATGCTTATTTTACATTTCTTTGAAATCTCTATTATTACTACCATAATACAGGGAGGGAAGTAGATGTGTAACTTGTGATCGCAGTGAGACATAAGGATTGCCAGACATTACCTAATTTACAATCCTGCAAATTCTGTACTTTTAATATTTCCTAATTACTAATATTTTTAAAAAATGAGTCGGAGAAATTGAGTAGGATATTGAGGAAGAGCTCAGATCTGGGGAACACAGCCTGGACTCAAAATCAAGTGCACTGAATGATAACTGCTGAGAGGCCTTACAGAATTCTGTGCTATGTATTTCCTGAAAGCCACTCGAGTAGACCACAAAAGCATATTTTCTTTAATGCCAGACACCCTCCCACTGCCTTTATTCTATCCCCTTCCTCCTCTTCACTAAAGAGCTCCTCCTGTCCATCCTCCAGGTCTCAGCACAAGTTTCATCGCAGCTCTACAGACTTATTTAGCAGCCACTTCCTGTCCCAACTAATGCAGGAATGATAATGGCTTTGTAGGTGTCCAACATACATTCAGTTAATGAATTCCATGGCAGACCCTCAAATTCTCTATAGATTTATCATTAGTTGCCACAGAAAAAAAAAAACAAACATATCCAGCTTTTTCGTCTTTGCCATCAAAGATACCTACCATCTGACCCAGCCTGCCTTTCAACTGCACCTCAAAGCCACACCTCACTTTTCCAACTAAAAGAGACCACGGTACCCTCTTCCCTGCCCATACTGGGCTCCTTTCTTCCCCCAGACCTTTGCTTGCTCTTTCTTTCAAGAATGCCTTTGGACTCCAGTGAGCCTAAATGTGACCTCTCACAAGCTGCAGTCAAAGTCCTGACGCTGTGTCCTCATCCTCCTAGCATTTGAGAGGATCTTGAATGTGTGGAATAAATGCCCATCCCCATCCCCTAGAACCGCTGTGACATCACTTCCTCCCCTAGGTGAGGTCAGTATGTAGCTGACTGAGAGCTCATTCAGAGCAAGACTCTCAGTGTAGCCCAGTGCCCTGCATTGAACTGGTGTTCAAAAACAAAGGCTGTGGGTATTGCGACACAAGGAGAGAAGTAATTAGACTGGAGATGCATGGAGGTTTGGTAATTCCTAAAATAAGACACAGGAGCAGGAGCTGTACATTAGATGAGCAGCAATGAAATCAGGAACACTTAGACTACTGGGGACATATTCAATTCCATTCTTTAACCCAGTCTTCCAAGGACCCCAAAGCTTTTCTCCATGTGAAGAATAAAGATTTTACAGGAATCCTAATTTTTTTTTTTTTTGGTTCCGGTCGTGGTGCCTGAACTCTGGGCCTGGGCTCTGTCCCTTAGCTCTTCAGCTCAAGGCTAGTGCTCTACCACTTCTGGCTTTTTTCTTTTTGCTTATGTGGTGCTGAGGAATCAAACCCAGGGCCTCAGGCATGCAAGGCAAGCACTCCACCACTGAGCCACCTTCCCAGCCCAGGAATTCTACTTTTTCTGGTAACATAAGACATTATTTCAGAGAATGGCAGAACTATTACCAGCATCAGGTTATAGATATTGCCTGAATAAAGGGAGACTAATAGTGAATGCAGATTCTGAGAGCAGGTTTTTTTCAGTGTCTACGGGCAAAGCACACCCTATAAAAAGTTTAACTCTGTTGATTTGCTGACACCTCTTCCACATCATCTGCAGGTCTTTCAAACAAATGGTGAAAAGTCCGATACTGTCAGGAGATAAAGTGAATGTCTGATTTCAGTGGTACACATGCAACATTAACAGAAACTTTAACATCATTAAGTATAAGAGTTATAGAAACCACTTGGCTTATCTTGGGGTTCATTCTCCTAACATCAACTTATCTGACCTTTTCTGCTTGACTCAGACATATATTAGTTATTGCAAATAAGGGAAACCATGGGACCTATGTTTCTTTGGGCCTGGCTTACTTCACTTAATATAATTTTTTCCAAGTCTTTCCATTTCCTAACAAATGGGGCAATGTCATTCTTTCTGATGGAGGCATAGAAGATAAGTATTCAAATGTTTTTTTTCTTTCACTCAATTGTTTCTATCATATTTATAAGATGATTTCTATGTTGCGTTGTATGTCCCTCCCCCACAGTATAACCCCTGCTTTCACTGTATTTGATGTTGGTATAATTTGAGGAGGGGAAGGGAGAAAACAAAATTTTTAAACAGGGATACAAGTGGACCCATTGCAACAGTGAGATGTACAAGTCGTTATGTCGAAAAACGAACTTAACAACTTTGGTGGAGGGTGGGGGGAGGGTCAGGTTGGGGGGACGGGAGGTGTATGGGAAGGGATGGGAAGGAGAAACAACGAGGAGGCAACAATGCTTGATAAGAAATGTACTCGTTATCTTGCCCATGTAATTGTAACCCTCTGTACGGTATTCTCACAATAAAAATAAATAAATAAATAAACAAAAAAATTGTTACCCCCCAAAAAAAAGAATCCACTTTGCAACGGCATGGAGATGTATGATTTGTACACCTGTTTGTATTCTTAATATAAAATCAATGACATCTGTCATATTTTCCTTGGCATTCAGAGGAACAATAAAACTTCTCAGGGCCAGTGTCAGAGGAAACTAGGATATGAATTAGGCAAGCCAGCCTTCATCTCTGTTTTCTGTATGTGTATATGTATATATGTGTATGTATATATGTGTGTATACATGTGTGTGTGTGTATGTGTTTGTTCAAGGCTAGTACTTTACCACTTGACCCACAACTCCACTTCTAGCTGTTTTGGTGCTTAATTTGAAGTAAGTCTCATGACTTTACAGTCTAGGCCGGCTTCAAATCATGATCCTCAGACCTCAGCCTCATGAGTAGCTATAATTACAGGCATGGGCCACCAGTATCTGGCTATTCTGTTCTATGCCCACTGATTGTTTGCATCCCTTCCCCTGGAGCCCCTATGGCCTTTATGTTTCCAGAACCATGACCTTGGCCACGCCTACATCTCCATTAGACCCTTAGCTCAGGGAGCTCATACCTTATGCTAATTCGCCCAACGCTAGGTCTATGACATATCGGTCTGACTGGACTACTTGTATCTACCAGGATTCAACTAGACATGTATAATCTAGGGCAAGTCATCAATCTTTCCTCAGTCCCTTTAATTTCAAATTAGAGCCATACATGCCTACTCTACTGTATTGGAGGGAAGATTAAAAGAGGTAGCCCTGGCACAGGATTTAATACATAGCAAAGGCGTGGGGGGGGGGCCTACGGGGGTGGAGGGGAGGGGCGGTGGAGGGCTACTCTTACATAAGTTCTCAAATGATTCCAGAATCCCAGATGGTGACCTGGGTGAAATGCTTATAATCCTGAGGTCAGATTAGCCACATACCAACCAATGGGATGATTTTGGATTCATGTATTGAATTCTGTTTTTTTTCATATATAAAGTGGAAATGATACTGTAATATCTGTAAAAATTTAACTTCTATGTATGTATGATATGTGTATGTATGTTTGTTCTTGGCATGTTATAAGCACCTAATAAAAGGTGTGACTTAACTGGGCTCAAGCTTGTAATCCTAGCTACTTAAGAGGCGGAGATCTGAGGATCCTGGTTCGAAGCCAGCCTGGGCATGAAAGTCTGTGAGACTCTTATATCCAGTTAACCACCAGAAAACTGGAAGTGTTGAGCTGTGGCTTACATGGTAGAGTGCTTGCCTTGAGCTGAAGAGCTGCGGGAAAGCACCCAGGCCCAGAGTTAAAAAAGATACAACTTGTTCTCATTTGCCGTAGAAGACAAAAAGAGCAGCAGCAAGATTACAAGTCTTTAGCTGGGAATAGTCGGGCACTTCTGAAATCCCAGTTACTAGAGAGGTAGAGGGAAGAGGATCATGATTTTGAAGCCTGCCTGGGTGAAGGTAGTAAGAGTCTGTCTCAAAAACAACATGTTTGAGGACATATTTCAACTACTTGAGTGCTTACCTAGCATGTACAAGGGCCTGGGTTCAAATTCCTAGAAGGCACTGTGTGTTCTTGGCCTTTTGTTTTGTTTTGTTTTCTGTATCCGGGTATAGAAGAATTCATATTGATAAAGACAGCGGCTTATACTGCCTTCTTTGTAGCAAGACTGGTTCTGGGGCAACAAAACCATATTCTTTTTTTTTTTTCTTGAGATTTCCAAGAGGATACATCCATTCTAATTTAATAAACCTTTTTGTTTAGTGCCTGACTCAAAGCAGCGAGAGCACACGTGCATTTCCAAATGCATAATTTGTGTGAGCTCTCAGGCCCCAACACCGTGTGGAAAGAGCTCCGGGAGGTGTGGGCATCTGTACCCATGCAGAGCCAAACTCCCACATATTAATTGTGTCTCAGCGATTTTCTCCTGGAAGAAATAATTCATGTGTAGGCTTCTAGCTTTTGTTCGGCCTTTGTTCATTTCTGACTCTTGAGATTGCATTGATTACAGTGTTGTTTCGACAGCAGCCACATAATGCACAGAATATAGAGAGCAAATGGAGCACTCCCCCCACCTCTCACTCCAAGTTACACCATTTCCTTCTATGTGATTCCAACAATACAGGAAGGAATGGAAGTGATCATAATGGAAGTTTATCCTTTGCAAAAGCATACTGTAAAAGGCTGGGGCTCTGAGTGCATGCTTTTAGACCGCCAGGCATAGAGCGGTGAACTTGAGGCCTCTACTAAAGGCCTCTACTAAGGTCAGCCCCCAGGAAAACAATGGTCTTTTTTTCTATCCACAGGTAATGCAGGTGGTGAAGGAGCAGGTTATGAGAGCTCTTACAACCAAGCCTAGCTCCCTGGACCAGTTCAAGAGCAAACTACAGAACCTGAGCTACACGGAGATCCTGAAAATCCGCCAGTCTGAGAGGATGAACCAGGAGGATTTCCAGTCTCGCCCGATTTTGTAAGTAACCCACTTCCAATCATTCTGTTCCCAAGGACTCACCATGTCTAGCAAGAGGCTTGAGAGCTGCGAGCATCTGTGTACATGTTTCCTATCAGCCATCTGACGTGAGCTTAGAAAAGGCAGCGGGAGACCTGAAAGGTCTCAGGTGGCAGGTGGCAGCAGCCCTGCCAAGGAAGGGCTGATTGTGGTAGGAGATGCTGGCCAGTCTGACAGAGTGGAACCAGCCCAGGAACCAGCCCAGCTGTAAGTCATCCTCCCAGAGTGTACAGCCATGGAACAAAATTTTTATCAGTGAACCTTTATCTTAGGTTCGGGTCTCTTGAGAAGCGAAATGTTCTGCGTCAACCAGAGAGGAACCAATCATGAAAGTAACAGAAACTGAAGAGTAGCATGCATGGTAATGAATGTTGTAGGAAGAGAAAGGCCCACTATGGCCTCTGATGGTAGCTGGCTTTGGAGCATCCTGGATCGCTTTGTGACTGTAACCCTGTATTTTCCCAGGTTAAAGATAGCAGGCCCTTTTATACAATACATTGTCACTTGCAGTTGATACAAAATATCATGTATCTCCATCTTCAACATATTCTACACCTAGAAGCTGAGAAGGATTTTCTTTGGATTGTCTCTTCTTAGAACTGGCCTGTTTTATTAGTTTTGCTGCTCTTTTCTTTTACAGAAGAGGAAATAAGGGGAAGGATGGGAAATAGGAAAGGTAGTTGACATTTATTCTTCTTCTATCCTCACAAGATGACATGACTTCTTCTGAATGTGTGTGATGCCAATGTGAACCTAGGTGTGTTCTGAAATTCAGCGTCCCTTCATCCTCTCTCCCCCTGTCCCTCTTTCTTGCTATGCTGTTTCCTGCTTACCTGTGTTTCCTACTTTTAATGTGTAGCAGTTAGCAAGGCACCTTTCATTCTATTTGTTCCATGAACTCATAACCTCTATGAATGGGCAAGTCTTATTCCCATTCATAGAGGGAAAGAGAAGGCTTTGTTAACAACTGAAGGAACTGGGCCTTGAATTCAAGTTTGCTGATTACTAGGCTTCTGCCTCCTCCTTCTTCTTGGCATATGCAAGACTGAAATTAAATTTAAAATGCATAGGTCCAAGAAGACAGTAATCTAGCAGTAGCATAGACTGTTCATTGGTTTTTCAAATCTTAAGAAGCACTATTGGAAATTGTGGAGTGCAATTGTAGACTTTAGTGGACATGAACTTCATCAGCAGAGCACAGTGGTGCTCCCAAGGGGCTTTGTCATTTTACAGGTAAGTCACCCCCCAGAGAGAGAGAGAGAGAGAGAGAGAGAGAGTGAACACCAGACCTTAGCAGAGATACAGCTTGGGGGTTTACCTTGGTTCCAAGCTAGGAGAACCTGAGAGACAGAAATCCCTCCCAGCAGAAAGCACTCTGGATAAATGCATGGAAAGACTGTGGTGCGTGGCCAGCTAGGGCTTACGTCTCCCAAAGCCATCTCTTATATCAGATGTACATGCACAAGGACACTTCGTTATATCTTGACAACTATTCTTAAACCCTAAAGGGAAACATCCAGAACCACTTCAGTGAAGGCCAAGTGATTCTAAATTAATATCACTTCAGTTCAAGCCAAGTGATTCTAAATTAATATCGCTTCAGTTCAAGCCAAGTGATTCTAAATTAATGTCTGACCGTGAATTGTTCCAAGAAAGAAAGTCAGCTGCATAACCAGGATGAACACTTGGCTTCTTCTTTGCCTTTCTATCTTCACTTTCAAAGCTCTGCCTGTCTCATTTGGAAGTTACTTGTAAAGATAAGAAGCTCTGCCTTTATGATTAGTCAGGAGAGAGAAGCTCTTTGTGGATGCAGCGTTTGTGTATCTCTGCAGCATGAAGCTGAAAAGCACAGGAGCTCTTGGTATACATACAGTGTTAGTGCAGTCGTAAGGAAGTGTTTAAAGCTGCAACATTGAAATGGGAAGGCCACAGGCCAGCTTGATTGCTATCACAGCCCATGAACCAGTGGGAGGGAGCCAGGGTACATTTTGTTTATTAGCATGATCCATTGTCCAGTGATTTAGTTCATCTAATATGGTTATATGCTATGGAGGGGCTCATGGTGGGGTTGGATGAAGTCTATCAACATGATTCATACAATAATCCCAAGTCACTGAAGAGAAAAGAGGGAGATTGTATGTGTTTTCATTCATACATTCATGCCTTCATTCAACAAGCAAGTGTGGATGGAACAAACTCCTCCATACCAGGCTCTGTCCAAAGTTCTGAAAGTAGGCAGAAACTCTGTGGCCCATCCCCCAATATGCAGACTTTAAAAGTTAGAAGGAGAGGATTCACAGAAAGCTCAGTGCTGGATTACAAGAGGCACAGGTGTGTAGCACCCAGAAAGTGTCTATCTCCCAAGCATGGTAGTGAAGACATTGGAATTGAGAACTGAAAGGTATCTGTAAGGCCATCGGGTCCAAGCCTTTCACTTTGCAGACAGAGATAGCACCTTGCTTTGCTGAGCACTAGTGTGGAACACCCCATATCATCAGCCTCAGATCATATACCCTCTCCATCCCCAGAGGACTGGGTAGGTGGCCCCGACATGACCTCCTATGGCCCACACATGGCCTATAGCAAGCCAGACTCCATCAACCACACATCTCATCATGATTTAAAATGGCTGCATATCCTCAAGAGAAAAATGTCAACTCTATGCAAGCAGATCTTTGGAGAATATCTGTATTCAGTGTATTGAATTATTCGGTGTATAGGCATTCAGTGGGTTGAAAAAGTTGTTATATTTCATAGCTCTTGATTAGTGATGGAAGAAGGGAAGTATTTTTTATTTCGTACTTAATGTGACTTAACAGAGACAATAAGTCCATTCACATAATTAATCCAAGTTAATGGATATAGAAAGCTTCAATGGCCTGAAAATGGGCCATTTAAAACAGTTGTCAGGAGATAAAAATGCATTGAAATCTGAACCAGAATAACTGACAGACCCAGGTCAGATTTCAGTGCTACCATTTGCATATATGTCTTTTTAGACCAGTTCCATAACCCATTCTAAACTTTCTTTTCTCATCTTTGTAAATAAGAAGATTATGAGTTTCTGCTTCACTGAAACATCATGAGGAGGCAACAAAGTCATGTCCAAAAGCATTTTATCACAGAACTTACTAAGGTGTGATACTGTCCATACGTAACTGACCCCATGAGTGTACTTGGGTTCGCCTCACATTGCTCAGAAAGTCCAGAGAAATTGATGAAGGAGAAAATAGAGCTAGAAATATAGCCAATAACTATGCTTGTCAGTCTGTGCCCTTCCTAACAAATATGCTTCCCTCAAAGTTTTCTGGTAGCCAGGGCTTAGTACAGTGCGTGCCTAGGTCTGTAATGTTCAGTGTTCAAACATACAAACTCACTGTTCTTTAGGTGGATGATTGAGCAGTGAGGAGAACGGACACAACCCCTATTCCTGAGTGGAAAAACAGACTGTACACAATTAACAGTGTCAATGTGTTAAGTGGGGTACATGCAACAGGATGCAAAGCAAGATAAAGGGAATTAGGTGACTAGTTTTAAAGAATACTTAGAATAGATGTCTCTGATTATTTCTGAGCAAAGTCACACACAAGGGACTCAGTATTTTGGGGATGAGCATAACAGGTAGAGAGAACCACCATTGCAAAGGTCCTGAGGTCACAGTAGAACTGAATGATCAGTATTCCCAGAGGGACAGAACAACAAGAGTATTCAGGAAGAATCACTGGGAACCTGATTACCCAAGGCCTTATTAGGTGCCATCCAAGGTTTTGAACACAGGACCAACATGGTGTAAGGAGGCAAATTTGACAGCAGCAAGAGCAGTTAGGAAGCTATTTCAATAAGCTTAAGCAAGAAGTCATGAGAAGAGATAAGTATCAACCAAGGAACAGATCCATTTTGAAGATCAGAGACAATGGCATTTCCTAGATGGTTAGATGTAAAAGAGAGAAGAGCCAAGGGTGCACTCAAGGCTTGAAGTCTGAGCAGCTGGAGAACTAAGTCAGTACAATAGACTCCAGCAAGATAATTGGGAGTTCAGCGCTGGACATGTTAAGCAGTGGGACCCCCAAGTTTGGAGTTCCGTAGAGAGGACTAAAATGGAAATCAAAATTGGAGAGTTGTCAGCATGATCAAGTTGGTTTTTAAAGCTTTGTGTCTGTTCAGTGAGGAACAGAACAAGTTCAGGGATTAAGCCCTGAGTCCTTGTAATACTGACACAGAGGCAGATTTGTTCCCCTGAAACTGACGTTGTCACTTAGCACAAAGTTTCTCCAGAGTCCTTCTAAATCAGAGGTCCATAAACTGTGACCACTTGGGCCAAACCTTCATACTACTCGTTGTGCAGTGCAGTCACGATTATATATCTATTCAGTATCTAGCCCAAAAAGCCTAAAGAATGTACTGTTGGGTGCCTGACTTTGTTTGCCTACCTCTGTGGTAGATGATCTAGGGAAGCTCAGTGAGGAAGATCTTCTGAGTATTGAGACTGGCCTAGCTGAGCCTGGACTCTTTTGAGAAGTAGTTCTGGATTTTGCTTTTGTTTTCCATATACTCTCTTACCCTGCCTCCTTTCCCCTTTGTCTGTTTACAAGTCCTTTGGTGGAATTAGAATGGATCTGTCAAAGCCAGTCCCCTGAACCGATGACCTCAATCTCATTGACCACCAGCCAAGAGTTTCAAATTCCTCTGACAACCCACAGCATTATTTCCTGAATTACTCAGGAGGTCAGATCTCATCCACAGGAAATGTTGTAGGGATTACTTAGATTTGTGCTAGTCTGTGACATTTATAACTGCTGAGTCCATTTGCAAGAAACTGGAAGAAGTCTGATAGAAAAGGGGGGGAAATTAGTTTGGTTTTAGAAGTATTTAGGGTTCATGACAAGAAAAAAATGTAGTTCTTACACCATCAGCTCAGTGCTTTGAAAGATAGATCTCTAATTCAACAAAGAACTCATAAATGAAAAAGAAGAAAGGTTACAGTGTATGTGGAGTCATTTCTAGAAATTGGCCCATAGCAGACCGGAACTTTAGCCTTCTGACATCTACATCCAGTCTCACTAATGCCTCCAACGTGGCCATGAGGGCTGAACTCTGGTCTTTCTTTACAACATCAACTAGAACAACCCTGTCTTTACTAAAGTCAAAGGCCAGAATATCTAACCCCAAATTCCTATCTTTCAAATCACCTTAAAAAACAGGACTCAGAGAACATTGTACTGTATCATAATATCTTTGCAGTGGAGCACAATCTAGAATTAAATTACATCCTATTGGCCTGAGACAAGATGCAAATAATTTTTAATTTACCCCATCATTATCTCAATCTCTGTGGGCTAGAATCTAGGACAGTGTTGCAGTTTCCATTTGTGAAAGATGGACTAGAAAGCAAAAAGTGGGCCTATGGTTGACTCAAGATACAGCATGCTGTGAAATATTACTTATGTGGCTGCTTAGTATTCCTGTTTGGGCAGACTACAAATGTGGCTTAGGAGTTGACGTGTTCTAAGACAGAAACTTGGGTGGGAGCATTTCAGAGCTTTATTTTTTTAACCTTTGCATAAGTGTTGTCTGTGCCTTTATAAAATAAAAGAAGAAATTGTCCGAATACTTGGTTCTGGATAAACATCACTGAAGTGGCGGATACAATTGTGGAAATTCTGTAAATGTCAGAGGCCATCCTATGGTGGTGACAGATAACTCTAGCTGTGGAGCCTGAACAAATGATTTGTAAAGCACCAACTTGGGAGCTCCTGGGGTGTTCTTGGAAAGATGTGGCTCTCACTCCCTGCCCATCTGTCTACCATGCTGCCAACTACACTTCTCAAGGCACACCACTAACCATGTATTTATCCTTCAAAAGGGAACTAAAGGAGAAGATCCAGCCGGAAATCCTAGAGCTTATCAAGCAGCAGCGCCTAAATCGTCTGGTGGAGGGGACCTGCTTTAGGAAGCTCAACGCCCGGCGGAGGCAAGGTATTTTGTAGGGACACTCCACACTGGGGCCTGTTCCCAGGGAGTCACAAGGGCCTGGTGTTGCTTCAGGGGTAGCCATGTGACACTGTTTGTAGGACAAGAAGAGTAGTCTAGGTGGCCCCTTGTTGCCATGCATACCTAGGAAGAACCATAATTACCAAGAGTACGAAAGTTCCAGGCCTGTGGAATGGGAGTGCTGTTCTTCCCTACAAAGTGATACTTTCCCACTGAATGACAGCTGTGTCAGCAACAGCTAAGGACAAACCAATCTCATATGTGCCAAGCTTGGCTCTAAACATAAGACTTATGTACCCTGTAACATTCAGTCATCAATGGACCACATATACCAAGGTGGTCCCATGAGATGATGTCAATTTGTGACATTGTAGCCATCTCGGTTTGTGTGTCTGTCTACTCTATGATGCTTGCACAATAATGAGATCACCTAAAGACACATTTCTTGAGCCTCCTGTAGTAGCTCACACCTGTAAGCCTAGTTAATAAGGATATAGAAATCAGGAAGATTGCAGTCAAGCCAGTTCAGGCAGATATTTCTTTTTTAAGTTTAACAAAGTTTCCTGGGGGCAAAACAGTGCTTCAGAACAGAGAAGCACATTAGATACAGATGGTTCAGAGTACCTCACCCTATTGCATGTGTAGTTGTTTTTGTTAATGTATTTTACTGTTATTGTAGAGGTGACATACAGGGGAGTTACAGTTACATAAGTCAGGTAACGAGGACATTTCTCTTTGAACCATGTTGCCCCTTCTCTTGCTTTGTCCCAGCTTTTCCCTTTCATCTCCACCCACAACATGTACAGTTCATTTTCCACATAGTGTCCAAATATTTCTTAAGACACCATCTCAACCAATAAAAATCTGGGCACCATGGTATGTGCCTGTGATCAAGCTATGCAGTAAATGTAAACAGGAGGATCACTGTCTTACAATATAAATGTGAGATCCTATTTGAAAAATAATTAGAGCAAAAAGATCTTGGAGTATGGCTCAAGTGGTAGAGCCTCCTGCCTAGCAAGTTTAAATCCCAGTAGTTCCAAGTAAGCTTTCCACAAGAAAGAAAAGAAAAGAAAATGGTGCCCAATGGACTAGATCCAATAGGTAGAAAGCATTTCTGTTTCTTTGCCTTGATTATTGTCTTGCTCTCTTGACATGCTGGTTGTACAGTCAAAATATTCATATGATACTCTACTAGAAGTGAACAGCCAGAAAAAAAAATTTAAATAAGGTTTAGGGAAGGTGGAAGATTAAAGACACAGAAGTAAACATAGACATTAAAAACTGTGCCAAGAAAAATGAACATAAAACCTCGGTTATTAACTAGGTGAACCTCTGGCAGATATTTTGAAGCCCAGTGAATGCCCGGCTCAGGCACAATGATCCCCACTAATGACAGTCACTGAACAGCCCTGTGCTGAGTGTGTCATCATTGAAGTATTTCAGTGTAAACATTAACATTCACATTGAAGAATTTACAAGACCAAGCCTTCCTGAAGGAGTAAAAGGGGCAGATTATTCACAGGATGGGAAGTCCTGACAGCTCCTCACTGACCTCAGGAGAGGGTAAGGGACAGAATACTATAGGGCTAAGTTACAGGTAGGGACAAGAAAGACTGACATTAAGAAAAAACTCATCTTCCTCACTTAGCCCTAGAAGGGTGAATTCACACCTTCCTTTCTCATTGTGTTCCAGCATTGGTTATTTTATATTAAGCAGATGCCACCATGGGGGGAGGTCCCCTGGAGGCCATTTCCCATTGGGTAGCTATGCCTGTCTCTTAAAGCTATTGCAAGGAACAAAGGCCATCCTGAATGTAGCTCTAAGAAATCAACATAGAAAGTAAATACTGTTTATTCTGGAAGATTGTGTAGGACTCGGTTCTAGACTACTCTGCTCTTTCTTTAGCAACCCAAGGGTCCTGAAAATAAGACACATGACTTCTCAAGGCCATAGGTTCCATCTATAAAATGGGAGGGGAACACTAGAAGGCCTGAGGGCTTAGCCAGTCCGTGTGTGCCTTCATCCCTTCACTGTCCTTGGGCCCTCAATTCAGGGTATTCAGTCCCTATACAGATGACACAATCAAATGTTTATCTACCAATATTAGGCAAAGGACATGGAAGTCTTGTGATGGGGTTGGCAAGTAGACACGAACCAACAGCTGCTTCCACTCATGCTTAGCTTAAATCCTTCTTCTTGTGACCAAGCATGATAATCTTAGCCACTCAGGAGATGAAAATCAAGAGGAAGAAAGCCCAGGAAGAAAGCAAAACACATCTCAATCAGCCCAGGCAGTAAGCAAAACAGTAAGCCAGATCTGGTACTACAAATTGGTCATGCCACAGATAGGAGGATTGTGTTCTGAGGTCAGCTCTAGGCAAATCTTATCTGGAAAAAAAATCCTTAAAGGACTGGTTTGGCTCAAATAATAGAGCATCTGCCCAGACCCTCAGTTCAAAACCCCAGGACCGCTAAACAATGCTAATTCTTAAAACTAAATTTAACCTTCCAATCTACTTCATTATGAGACTTCCCTTTCTAGACTGAAATGCATAGACTATGCCAGAGAAAGACCAGAATAGTGCACGTTTCTAGATAACATAATTAGACTTTCTTGTTTAAGAAATATTCATCCCTTAACTGTTGATGTGTCCAGCTCTCTAAAAATGAATTACGTAGTGAACGCATGAATTAGCGTCTTGATGATACATTTACTAGTCGTGCGTCCTAGGGAGTGTGGCCAACTGGATTTCATGCAAGTTTATCCTTCCATCTGCAGAGGGGAAGGCTTTGGGGTGTTTGCTAAATGGATTTGAAATCTGGTCAGTGGCCCTGTGCTTTAAAAAAAGAAATTCAGAGCAGACGGTGCTGAAATTGATTTCCTATCACCCCGTCAAAACATTCCATTTAGATTTGCACAGATTAAAGAGGATGTGACGTGAAATCAGTTTTAATCCTTTTAAGAAAGATCGACTTTCAGAGGCGAACTCATGTTGGGTGGGCACCTGCCTGCTGGATGCAGTCATCATTAGAGAGACACAGCCATGGTCCCTTAAATGGCCCAATGCAGAGCGGGGGGGGGGGGAGGGTTGCATGGAGGGATGGAGATTACAGACAAATGCATCTAAGTAATTAACTTTATGGGGGTAGGGATATGAAATCTCCCAAGTCTACTGAAACGAAAAGCACAAGAGCCAGGAGCCTGTGGCTCATGCCTGTAATCCTAGCTACTCAGGAGGCTGAGATCTGAGGATCACAGTTTAAAGCTAGCATGGGAAGGAAAGTCTATGAGACTTTTATCTCCAATAAGCCACTAGAAAACTGGAAGTGTTACTGTGGCTCAGGCAGTAGAGTGCACTCGCCTTGAGCTGAAGAGCGCAGGGATTGCGCCCAAGCCCAGAGTTCAAGCCCTATGACTGACAAAAAAAAGAAAAGAAAAGAAAAGCAGAAGAGCAAACATAAGGTTCTTAGCTGGTCCACATTTGTTTAGAAGGTCTCCTACCTAGTACTTATCGCTCTACTTATCTCAGTGGAAGCTCTGTTCTTTGGGCAGTCTCATGAACCCAGGCAAAGTCTACACTTTGGGAATTGAAGCTGCTTTAGGACTTAGAGGCAGAAAATCATGCTGAAAACACTAAACTGTGCTCAAGACCATTCCTCTTCACTTTGAGTAGTGACCTTGGGCAGTGTCCTCCTCCATCTGAGTTTTCTCTCCATCAAAGGGGATGGGGCCACTTTTTGACCTCAAATAAGTTTCCAGAGTTAAATGATTGCGCCTCTTTAGCACTTAATATGGTGTTTGGCATGTCTCCATCCATTAGATTCCTCCATTCTGTCCTCACCACACTGTGGTTCTTCTCTGTTCCCTAAACTTCAGGATAGAGGGAAGCTGAGACCCTGGAGGTTATCTGTATGAAGGCCATTACTTGGTCCATTATTTGTTTCTGGAATGTTTACAACAGACCTCTATTCTGTGCATTTGAGAAATTAGATCTTTGGAATTGCTACCATGGAGTAGTCTTGATAAGAGCCCTGAGCTGAACCCTAGAGGGTTTTATCTGGAAGGTTCATAGCAAGAAGCTCGCTTCCTGTTGAGGATGGTGTCAATTTTAGTGAGTACCTCAGAAATCTATTACTCAGCATGCCAGGCTCCTTATAGTACTTGGTGGCCAAGTTAATTGAGACAGAAAACTTGGAAATATGTTTCCTTTTATTGACACAGAACATATAGAGTATTTCTATTATGGCAGTAAGGTCTGCCATATTGGAGATAAACGTCTCAGCGCTGCAAGAATTCCAGTTGTCAATGGCTATCAGCCCCGTGAGAATCCATGTGACACTGCAAATGGCTTTCATCAGCCCTTTTACCAGGCTTGAGAGCTTGGAAACCAGCTTTTCCCTCTGATCAGAGGGAGGGAGGGAGGGAAGAAGGGAAGAAGGGAGAGAGAGAGAGACACCGAGAAAAACAAATAGAGGCAGAGAGACAAAGAGACAGATAGATGGGAGAGATTAGACAGAGACAGAGGTAGAGACAGAAAAAGAGAGAGACAAAGAGACAGATGAATAGACAGAGAAAGAGACACAGAGAGAGACAAATAGAGAAGGAGACAGAGGCAAGGAGACCAAGACAGAGAGAGAGAGAGAGGGAGGAAATACATACATACACAGAAGCACAAATTTGTCTCCATATTTTTGAATTTGGGGTTGAATAGATACCATCAGCATACTCTCATTTGTAATTGACTACAAGACCTCCATATTTACTTCATTTCTTCCTTAAATGCTACTAAACAATCTTTGATAATGTCCTTATTGCCTCTTGCTCATTGCTTTCAGTGATGAAATCCACTCTCCATTGCCCTGGGGGACTGAGACACTGGCAACAACATCCTGCTGGGTTTTGAAAGGAAAACACACATTTTTTCTTACCCGAAAAGAAACTGCAAATGAAACTGCTCCTGGTGGTGGTCACCGAAATGCTTTCCGTCACCTTGTCAGTGACCTAGGCTGCTGCGAGCTGGCAGCTCAACCCTGTTTCATAGCAGTTCTTCCTTAGCGGTAGAAATACTCAAGTTATAAGGACACTAATCCATCCAAAGCTAAGGACTCCAGTGTCTACCCTATTTAATTACCAATCAAGACAGTCTGTCTACCCGTATCAACCCCTTCTAATTGTGGCTTTGAACCACAATACACAGATCTCAACCTCCTGAGTAGCTAGGATTACAGGCGTGAGCCACCAGTGCCTGGCTAGGAATGACAGTAGAAGCATAATCTTACAGTGAATGCAATTTTAGATAGAAACCCACTTTTCTTAAAATCTGGTGATTTTAGTTTTCTAGTCAGATTGCTTTCCAAATGATTTAGGACTGCAGATCAGGAAATGAAGTGACTTGGCCAACCTTACAGTGAACCTGCAGTGTAAAGGTAGAAAGGGAATGGCAGATGATAGGTGCTTTGTGCTTTAGGCGTTTTACTGAGCCCTCATGGGTCTTCCTTTATCAGTTTTGTATTAAGCAAGATACCTTGAGTCTTCCCTTATCACATTAGCCAACACTAGCTGCATGACTCCTGTGCCAGGTGTTTGGGACATTGCAGTTACAAAGATGGGTACTGTCCATACAGAAACTTCAGTGCCTACTCTCTCTGTCCAGGTGGGTCCCCTGGGTCTCTGCCCATCAGTAATTGTTCACAGTCTACCCACTAGGACACATTGCCTCTCCCTAGGGTCTGTGGTAGATAAAAGGGAATACTAGCATCACTAACTTGTGTTCTCCAATAGTGCGAGTACTATTAAGGGTACAAAGAGGATGCTGGAGCTTGTGAGGGGATGGGGAGGAACCCTTCCACTGCAGCCATCTGAAGGCTTCCTGGACGGGGCAGCCTCAAAGCTAAGCCTTGACAGGTTCACCAGCATCACTGTCAAGTTCAAATTCCTTAGCTATCATCCTTCTCCCTCCCTCACAGACTTACTTCAACCTTCTCATCACATATGGGTAGAGGGGGTAAAGTCAAGGATGCTGTTGATTAGAATCAGCGTAAGGCCCTTTTTATGCCCAATCAAAGAACTAAACTTTACTCCTTAGAGAAAAGAATGGTTGGGCATGGCTTAATTCTTTTAATAACTTTCTAAATTATTCAGGTAAGTTCTGATTTAATCCTACCCCATGTATATGCCAGTTCATTCACTGTGTGTATTAAACTTCGGGGGTTGGAGGGTATAAGATAATAGGTGTCCTTGTGCACAGCCATCTCGACAGGCTGACAATCAGAGGTAGAAGTAGGGACAAATTTGTAAGAGAGCTGTTTCTTTCTTCCAAAGAGCAGAGAGCTGTTCTTTCTCTTTCCCCATGTCACAGGCTGGGTAGATAAGGAATATCCTTCCTGGTAGGTTAAAAATAGTGCTAAAATGTCCTCTGGAAACAACCTCTTCAGAAAAGCTTTTGCCATTGAACATGAACAATTGGGTGACTTTCCTGACACCTACCAAACATGCACTGGGCAGGCTAGGCAGTAGCTAAATATCAAAATCAGAAAGAGGCTTATTGCTCAGGGCCCTAGAATTCACTCTTTTTTAAGACTTAAAATTAAATGAATTTTTGTTCCTCTAAGCAAGAATATTAGGGAAATCCATAATGGTATTTTTAGAAACAAGAATCTCTTACCTTATAAATTGGTGTTTTGTTGCTTTTTTCTTTTCTCCCCAGATAAGTTTTGGTATTGTCGGCTTTCACCAAACCATAAGGTCCTGCATTTTGGAGACTTGGAAGAAAGCCCCCAGGGAGAGGTGCCTCATGATTCCTTGCAGGACAAACGTAAGTGGTCCCCCCGACTGGGGTTTAATCCATTGTGTGGTTTTTAGTCACTGTGTATCATGTAGCAAAGCTAGATGAACACTTTGACCTTGACTCACCTTGCTGTAGGTCATAGCCTGAACATTGAGCACAAGGCCTTGATGGATTTGACTTTGGGACTGAACAGGTGGAAATGTCTCCAAGGAGATATTGGGCATATCTTTCCTGACATTGGGTCCCAGTGTGAGCTTTAAATTTTATCCACTTTATTTTATCCACTTTATTTAGTATTATTTATTATTTATATCCACTTTATCTACTTTAAATACTGTTTCAAGGAAGTAAAACAAAATGAACCCAATTTGGTCATGTGTGTTTTTAATAACCCAGAATAATTTCATATAATGCAACTGTTTGACCCTCCAGTCTATTCATTCTAGTTTAATGTATCCTGTAAGGATATTACAGCCTTAATGAAAGACCAAAGATGAACTTACATCTAAGAAGTAACTCAGACACTCTTAAAATTTATATTGGTTTCTGTTGTTTGCCAAGTATTCCCCGAGATGAATATTCTTTGTCCTTATTTGCCTTTTCTGGATGCTGCATGCAGTAGTGTGTAGGCTTTAAAGAGGCTGTGGTGCGGGAATTCTCCTAGCCCAACAGCCATCTGGATGCCAAGGACCAGGTTCGATGTTAAGTGTGTAAACTAAACCAAGTATTAACACTGAGACAAGGCACACAGGGGAAGTGAATTCATTTGGAGAGAAATGAGACAAAGGGAATGAATGCTGCTATGCAGGATACACCAAGTAGAGAAGTAAACAAGGGGACAAAAGGAAGCCAGGAACTCTTACATCACCTCACAAAGTCACACTGGCCCCTCAGTGCTCAGAAAAGAGCCTTCCAGGAGGAGTGTCCTCCCCACCACTCTGCCTTCTAGAACTTTCACTCCTATCACCCAAAGGCTCCTAGAAGTTGGTTTTTTTTTACTTATTTGCCTCACAGTTAAGGGCCATCACAGGCAAAAATAAACCACAAGTCAAAATCTTCCTGACACTTCTAGACTCTATGTTGACATCTCAGGCAGACAGCCTGGAACATTCTCTCTTTTTCCTGCAGACTAAAAATGGGGCACTGTGATCACTGGAGTGTCACATAGTTCATTTCCTCCCATGGGGAAACTGCTTCCCTGCACACGTGGGCACTGGCAGTGGAGAGAAGAACAAAACCCAGGGCTACAACGGGG